GGCTACATGGTGGCCAGAAAATAAAAACACCGACCAAAGAACTCCTTACCTGTTAATGGTAAAGGAGGGTGACTAACTGTGGCAATTGAGATGGGAGTAGGAAGATTGGTTGGGAGTCTTTTCCCCCTTCTGACTCTTGTGAGTCTCAGCTAAATAAGGTAAGTCTGTCTGATGTTCAGGGAAACAATCTTTCTTAGTATAAACCTGACCAAACTCAGTCTCAATACAGGTTGAATCTGCAGACACTTTGCTGCTGGAGCCGCGTTTGAGGGAGCACTACATTTTTGAGGCATAGATGGAGGTGCAAAGCACTCCTTAGCCTGTGGCTCAGAACAGTGCCAGGTGGAGTAGGGCGGTGGTGGTGGTAGAAAAGGTGGCAGAAAAGGCTCATAGCTCCTGTACCAGATAAAAGGGACTGGTCCTGCATTAACTTCTCAGCATGATAGGACCCTTCTGAGGAAAATTACTCGGGTCTACCTGACAGTAGCAGGGTTTTACGGTTGACTCCTATGAGTCCTTTCCTTATGAGCCTCCGCAGGCACCGGCAGCTGAAATGGGGTTGCAGGCTACTATGTGAACGAGCCCATTGATAAAGAGGGCTGTTTTGTGCCAAATTATGAGCCACCAAACAAGTGCTATCCCAAACAGGAATATCACTGACTAGCAGGGCTAGCAGTGGGAACTGCAGCCCCCCCACTTTTAAAGGCAAAGCTAGGGCTTCCAAATGTTGCCCGAAAGCTCTTGCTTTGGCATATAGCTGATTTTGGAAATAGCAGCTGTGAGAACGAGCCCATTGATAAATGAGGGCTGTTTTATGCCAAAACCATTCAAAGGTGTCACCCCAGTCAGGCATATCACTGACAGGGAGAGCTGGCAACGGGAGCTGAAGGGGGCCCGTTCCATCCCTAAAGGCAAAACCAAGGCTTACCACATGTTGCAGGAACATCTACAGCCTCGGCGCACAGTTTTCTCCAGAATTAGTAACCGTATGAACGAGCCCATGAAGGAGGGCTGTTCTGCGCCAACCTCACACAGAGGCTTTACCCCAGTCAGGAGAATCACTGACAGGCGGGGAAGATGGCCAGCACTGCAGGAGGCCCTTTCTTCTCCAAGGACAGGGCTGCAGACGCCCAACTCACTGCAGGTTAAACAGCTGTATGAACAAGCCGCTTGATGCAAGAGGGCTGCTCCAAACCAACCTCCGCAGAGGCTTTACCCCAGTCAAGAGAATCACTGACAGGCGGGGACGGTGGTGGCCAGCACTGCAGGAGGCCCTTTCTTCTTCCAAGGACAACCCTGGGGCTACTACAGGTGCCCAACTTACTGCAGACTTGACAGTTGTATGAACAAGCCCCTTGATGCAAGAGGGCTGCTCCACACCAACCTCCGCAGGTGCCCAACTTACTGCAGACTTGACAGTTGTATGAACAAGCCCCTTGCTGCAAGAGAGCTGTTCCATGCCAATCTCACACACAGAAGCTTTTATCCCATGTCAGGAGAATCACTGACAAGCAAGGATGGCAGCCACAGCTGTAGGCAGCCCTTTCTTCCTCTAAGGGCAAAACTCAGATGCTGTCCTCTTCTTTTTGATAGAAAGAGGAAGATTGGAAACAGGTAGAAAGCTGTTGCTCTTGAGCCTGGGGGTAACCTTGCTAAGAAGGTAAAAGAGACCTTATGTCTTTAAGAGAAAAAGCCCTGAGGTTCTAAAGCCGGTTTTGTAAAGCCTTCACAAAGAACAACTAATGGCAGCTTCTTCCCCCAGGCAGAAGAAACAACTTGTTATTTAGAAGAAAGAACAAGGGAGGTCAAAGAAAGGAAAGATAAGAAATAGAATTTGTTTTTACTTGTGAAGTTCCGAACAGAGCTGCTACTACAGCGGCCTTCGAGAAAAGAACTGAGGGCTAGGTGCCATGGGTGGAGTTATATAGCCAGCTGTAGGGGAGGTCCCGGAACCAAGTGCTTAAAGCTGTGCAAGTTTCCGAGTCTACTCTGCTCCAGCGCAGATTAATCCATTAGTGTGTATTCACAGAGACCACGAAGGAGAACCTAGGAATATGTAATTTGAGGAGTTGCAAAGTGGATTTCTGTAGCCTACAGCACTATTTGCAGTCACTATATGGCAGACCTCACAAACTACCACACAGCTACTGTACAATGGCTCTTACAGAAAGAAGGCATTCTGCTAAAAGCCAGCTTGCCAAAAACGGACTTGCAAAAGTTGCAGTGAAAGAAACTGAGACCACAGAATAGCAACAGAAAGAGTAGAGAGGGCTGCATTCTAGAGGGCTTAAACTCTAGAGCAACAACTGGCAAGGCAGGAGGCAAAGAAAGCAGAAATTGAGCAGTCCATCATAGGCTTTTTGTTAGAAAGTATCAAGAAAAAAACTATAGCATGTTTATTTAAAAGCAGATCAGGATGACCACAGCAGAACCTACTACCCAGTTTAGGTCTGTAATTTTTCATTAAATCAAATTTACAGTGAAATGCTTTGATTTGTTTTGATACCCCCAAAGCATGATTAAATTTTTGCTTGTTGACAATGGTCTTAACAGCATGGTTCTTCCCAAGCTTGGAAATAACACGTTAAGAGTTACCTGAACTATTGAAATGGCCAGAAAGAGCTAGATTTAAAATACAGCAGCTTTGCTGTGTGTTTGCCACATCAATAGTAGGCCTGCACAGCTTCTCCACCAAGAAAACCATCCTACTTGCAATGCTAGAGAGTTTTTTAAAATGTCTGTTAATTTCATTATGTATTTGTTTTATTCATATGGAGATTTGGGGGCTACCTGTGGCAAGGTCAATTCATCTAGACCTTTAGCAATAGGCTGATTGTTCTTCTCTGGTCTAGAAAGGCCTTTAGGGCAAGGGCCATCCAAATCATGACAGCTTCATATTGGATAAGAGCTGCTAGATTCTGGTTTCCTGCAAATACCACTTTCCCCCCCTCCAAACACTATCCATGGAAGACTGAAGCTGTTACTTCTTGAGTTGTGGTCAGTGCTTTTCAATTGATCTTGGTGCAGTAAACGTTGGCCGCAATGATCTGGATAGCTGCCTGGGATGACACCTAAGATCTGTGAGGCTGATTTTACTTCAACAGATTCTTTCAGTCTAGTATGGCTGATTTGTCCTCTACACAGCAGTGATTCCCAAATTTCGACTTGTGGCTCCCTTGACTTACTGGCTACTGGCTATGGCTGGCCAGTACACAAAGACTGCCATATCCACAGGATCAGTTCCTGCACTTTCACTTACCCACTGCATCATCATCATCATAATTAGTAACCCAAGGTGTATTACTAGGACTGGCCACGAGATGGAACCAGAAACTAAGCTACGGTATATACAGATCGCTTAAGGGAAATGCCCTCACGGCCTGACTTCTCCTAGGGAAGCAGCTTCGGAAAAGAAGCTGCATTTTTTTTGCAGGTGTGTGTGTGTGTGCGCGCGCGTGTTGAAGGAAGGCTTCCTTGCGAACAGGAGGGCAGAAAACCCATTTCTATGGATAGACCTGGCCAAGGTTCCCTCTCTACACCATGCAGGGATACCAGAGAAACTGCAAGGCAAGTAAATGCTGCAGTATACTATGGTGGAGGGAGGAAGCGGGGAAGAAGGAGAGGATTCTGTGGCACCCCTGGGTTGGTTTCCTGCATCCCATGGAGCCACAGCACACAGCCTGGGGACCACTGCTATACAGGTTAACTTAAGTCCTTGATGATCTTAGATTATAATTCTCAGAAATTCTAAGAAGCGACTTGAGCTCTAGGCAATTTTAACTAAGGCTTCTGAGTATTATATTCTAGATACATTTACAGAATCAAGGTTGGGCTGCCCAGCATAGGATTAATTTTGAATGGGAGATATAGGCCCTTTTTTGGTGGGGAGGGAGAACGCAGCATTACATGTCTATTGCAAACATATATTAATTTTTAAATTAGTGTTCAAATTCCGACCATTCTATAATCAGTATTACTCCAGATAGATTTGAAATTACTAAGATGTCAACCCTATGCACATTTATTTGGGAGATGACCCCACTGAACACAGTGAGAGAATACTTCTGAATAAACAAGCATACAATCAATAACAATGAATGAATATATTCAGACCAATTCTTGTGGTATTTGCGAAGGCTTTCACGGCCAGGATCTAATGGTTGTTGTGGGTTTTTCGGGCTCTTTGGCTGTGTTCTGAAGGTTGTTCTTTCTAACCTTTCGCCAGTCTCTGTGGCCGGCATCTTCAGAGTGCTGTCCTTTGAAGATGCCGGCCACAGAGACTGGCGAAAGGTTAGGAAGAACAATCTTCAGAACATGGCCAAAGAGCCCAAAAAACCCACATCAACCAATTCTTGTGGTAATGCTATGACCTGCACAGATTTTTCCCTCAGGTGGATAAAACAACGTTGATTCTGGAAGTCCAACCAACTGAGAAATATGCTTGATTCCTGTGACACAGGAAGGCAAGTTTTTTTTTTTTTTTTTTTTTTTTTTTTTTTTTTTTTTTTTTTTTTTTGGTCTCCATGAATATAGTGGAAGGCTAATACTTCTAGCAGCTTCCATTACATGTATGGGGTAAAAACTGCATTGGCTTTTGCAATGGTACAAGGAAAATGTCCTCTTACACGTGTTCATACCTCTTCAGTCTATGCCAGTGTTTCCTAAGCCTGGGTTCGCACACGTTCTTGTGCTGCAACTCCCAGAACCCCTTGCCAGTACAGTACGGCAAGTGGGGAAGGCTTCTGGGAGTGCTAGTCTAAGAACCTCTGGGAACCTAAGCTTGGGAACCAATGATCTATGTTATTGTGCGCTTATACTGATCAGTTCCTAACCAGATTTACTGAACATGACATTTTCTTCCTGGACAACACTTCAAGTTTCTGTCAGCAGGGAGGAAAAGAAATACATTGTATGCTTTGTTTCTTTTTTATTTAAATAAACATAAACCCTTCAGTGTTGCAAATGCAAAAACAAACAAAAACAAACCAAAACACAGAATATTTAACACATAGGAAGAAAAGAACTTCATTGAGGGTAAATTGCATATTCCAAGTATCAGGTAAATGTTATGCGACCAGTTCATCTGTTACAGTTCTACCAGACAAAGAGAGAAAGCAAGAAAAATAACTAAATGTTTATCTGGATTATCTGACATATGTTTAAGCACTTTTTAGAAAAAGCACATCCATGTAATTTGCTTTCATTGTATTTAAAAACTTTCTACTCTTCTATTAATTCAATATTGTTTTAAAGTTTTACAAAATAAAGAAAACTCCTCTACCATTTCCCCCTTCCTCCCTTTTTTCCTCCTGGTCAAGAACTAATCTACGCATCCAATTAATGGATGCAACACACCACTATCATGCTACTCTATCCAAGTCATCTAGGATAATTTCATAATAAAGATAAATAGAAAAAGGAGTTACTATACATGTTCTATCTTACATAATGTTTGCATCCAAGCTGTAAACTAATGTCCTTTTGAACTGATCACTTTTACCCTCAGTTAGATACTTAAGAAAAAAACAATGTTTAGATATTAAAGGCATGTTATTCAAAACATTACATAGAAGGCAAAGAATTTTCTTTTGTCCATCTCCAAAAACGATGGGTTACAAACTAGCTTCAGTCTGTGCCACCCATCCACCCTCGGACTTTTTTTTTTCTGTGTAGCCAAATGTCTTCCATTATCTACAGAGGAATTTAACCGCTGAAATAATAACAAAAAGTATTCTTCGTCTCAAAGAAAACTGTCAAAGCCCAGAGAATGAAACATGGTTGATTTAAGACAACAGTTTGTTTGAAATCAGAATCCTTTAGCTTATGAGTTTAAATGCAGTCCTTGGGTACACATTTGTGTTAGTCAAGAGGTCCTTGGAAAATAAGTCTTATGTAGCCTTGCTCACCAGAAAGCTGATGTGCGCAGAATGGACAGGCTGCATGGAAAGTGTGGGTACCGTGAGGAAGAGGGATCTGGGACCAATAGGCCGTTGTCTTTTCAGAGCACACGTGTCCACATGGGCTGAAGGCATGAGTTGGAGGCCCAGCATCCACATAAAATCCAGCTTCACATCCAAGCCAGAGAGGCACATAGGGGCCGACAGATCGGCACATGGGGCATTCTCGATCCTTCCCATCTCGCTCTTCTTTGTTCCCCCAGTTATGGTAGCCATGGACGTGGCCACAGTTTAGGTACACCCAGGGTTGCTTTTCATCTACAACATCTTTCCTCTTCATACTAGGAAAGGCTAATGTGTTAAAACCCACAGGACACTGAGGCCTGGCTGCATTTATTTCCTGCCTCAGAGCTTCCAGGTGCTTCACTGTTGGTGTGCGTGAAAGTCCTTCTGCAGTACGCCACAGCAATGTCGCTCCACAAAGGTCAATCAGTGAACCATCCTGAAGTTGGTTCGTCTCATTTTCAACCTGGAAGGGAAGATGAACACAGGTTACATGCCATGTAAGAGCTGTATATACTCTGAGTCACAATACTGCATTCTTCAGATTAAATTTTATCACTGTGAAATGCTTGTAGAGCATTATTTATATAGCAAACTCTAGTTTTTAGTATCTAACAAAATAAAGATCAGAGTCTACAAAATACTGCATCTTCTAGAACAGTGGTTCCCAACCTTAGGTCCCCAGATATTCTTGGACTAAAACTCCCAAATGGCTTCAATACTAGCTGTGCTGACTAGGATTTCAGGGAGTTGTGGTCCATACCACATCTGGGGAAACTAAGGTTAGGAACCATTAATCTAGAACAAACAAAAGACATCACAGACTTTGATTAGTAACTTACTGTGTAACAGCTCATGGTCATTTTAAAATAGCTTTGCCTGTCTTCTTGATTCCTAAACCATCTGACTTGTGCCTTTTTAACAACTTGTCACAGAGGACCAACTTATTACAAATTATCTTTACACACCTAATGAGGCTTCAGAATTGAAGCAGGCCCACCATTGAGGCCTACTCTGGGACACCTTTAAAAAAAATGTCCTGGCCAGCAGCTGTAATGCTGTCTACAGAATCAAACATCTGATGAAGTAAATGGAGCCCACAAAAGCCCATGCCATAATACCTTGACTTTGCTACAACAGACCAACGTGGCTACCAGTCTGGAAGCTTTATGGAATGAGTTACTCTGGCCACAATCCAATGGAGGTGCTCCATTGATTTAACTGCTGCTTTTAGCAGAACCACCTGCATGTGTTGGGGAAATCCTCCCGTCTTTTGCAAGACCTCATGCATCCCCATATGCTCCAGGGTGCAGTGAAAAACAGCACAAAGTCTGCAAGGGGAAGACGGTCTTGTCACTAGTTTCCATGAGATTTAAGCCTCCAAAGAGCTCCCTCAGTGCTCCTCCCACCAAGAGAAGACTCACTGCAAACTAACCAGCCCACCAGAAAAGGCACATTCTGTAATGCAGCCACTAAATCTCAAGTCATAATCAACTCATGTTCAAAATAGCTAAAGGAGTTAAGTGGATTGATTTCTGTCTACTTCAATAATTAATGAGAAGACTACTTGAAAGGATTAGAGAGCATTTGATCAACTGTTCTGTAACAGTTTAAAATATATAGTTTTATGCATCAGCATACCCTCCCATATTTTACCCACTGCTTCACCATAGGTATGTGCCTTGATAGCCATGCTTTATCAACTATCCACAGACATAACAATCAATGGAAGGATGAAATTGTTCTGTAAAGTCTCGATAACTGATTTGAAATGGTGCCCAACAATACTGTAACTTCTGTTACAGAAACAGTTGTGTGATTTTCTTGATGGCAATTACAATCATAATCCAATCCTGTTTGAGAGAACAAAATCTGGTATTTTGCCTTCAAATATGGAGAAATAGGCCACTTCATTTCTACAGTGCCAACAGAGCTTAAGGGCACTCAAAGCTATTCTAAACATTTTGATAGGGATATACTACCACCCGTACATAATCAAATAGAATTTCTCTGAGAAAGACCACCTTATAACACTCTACTGGGTACCCAGTATGGTGCAGTGGATAGTGTAATGGGCTAGGACTCAGGAGACTTTGAGTCCCTGGCTTTGCCATGGAAACTCACTGTGGAGTGGAACTGCAAAAATAATTGCATGCAATCAAGTCAATTTTGATTTATGACAACCCTTTCCAGGAATTTCTGGGTAGAGAAAGCACAGAAAAATTCCCTTCTTCTGGGAGCATTTTGGGGCTCTGCAGCCCATGACTACACAGGCTGGCTCTACTTGCAGGAGGCACAGTGGGGAATGGAACTCCCAGATTCTGGCTCTGCAACCAGATACTTAAACCACTGAGCTATCCTGCCAATTAGGCTGGTAACAGGAACTGGCAAAACCACTTCTTAAATTCGTCACTACCCTTGAAAACCTTATCAGGGTTGCTAAAGGTAAGTTTTTTTACTTACTTGAGGCCACATAACAACAACAAACAACACTCAACTGTCTCCATACAAATACATTTCATATCAACTTCCGATATCGCTAATATTCTCTTTCATAATTTTGTTCAGTTACTAGCGAGTGAAGGTTATTTACATGTCTAAAACCATACATTTTCAAAAAAACCACTTTTGTGCACTTCGAATTAACAGTTTTTCAAATGAGGTATAATGTCTGCTCATGTCCCCATCTGAAGTCTCTCAAATTTGCTATAATACCTTCAGAGATGGACGACCAACTCTATTCCTAGCCGGTATCTCTTTTGTGTACCATGTGTTAAACAAAGCCTGTTCCGTCTCATTCTGCATTTATCCACCATATTTTCACTTGTACAAAAACATGAATTTAGCAACATGCTGAATATGCATTCTGGAATGCATTCATCTCAAATTGTACAATCTGAAATACGCTTTGATACATTTTTGGGAGCAGAGCTGTTTTTTTGCAACTTTTGGACACATGCAAAATCTGACATATTCTTAGTTTTAATCCAGGAGCTGCAAATCAAGTTACTTCATATGGAATTTTGGTTCAAAGACCAAAATTCCTGAAGCAACCCTGTCTGTTCGGATTCTGCAAATGTCTAGATATGTATGTCCTGGAAAGGACAGAAATACTAATTTGCTACCCATGTGTCTAATTGCAACTCCTTAAACATAAAACATACTTTGAAAATCCTATTAAGAGTTGCTGTAAATCAAATGCAACTTGATAGTACAGAGCAGCAAACAAATTTGGCTTTATTTATTTCACAATGTAAAAGCTATGAGGAAGGATACAAAAGGGGAGAAGGGGCACTTAAGAGGTGAAGACGTCTTGTCAATATACAAGAAAAAAGTGTTTCTACTTCACACTCTCAGTTCATATAGAAAGCATTAGTATATTAACGGATATAATTTAATCCAACAAGGTTGGGGCAAAATGCAGACATTGCTAGTAATATAGATCCTCACGCTGAAAATATTTTTAAAATCCAGGGTGCTCAGAGTCTCACAGAAATAGAACAGTTTACTCCAACATGACATCTAAACTTGCCGATCTCAAACTTACCATCTTTCCTCTCTGCTGAGCAGACCTTGTTTCGCGGAGGCTGAACACATTCCCACATACCGATATCTCTCGCCACACCCCAGGCTTGGAGTCTTCAGTGAATCCATTGCGCGGATGCATGACTAGAACACCATTGGTAGTGAGGCCATCCATTTGCCCATCAGATGTCTTCCACTTGGCTGCCTTCTCCTACAATGAAACATCAAGAAGGTGGCTTTTATTTCTTTGTTAGTCATTCATCTGCACATCTATAGGAATCTAAGCCAGTCTGCTAAACTTGCACTGAACAGCAAAGGGAAACAGCTCCTTACCCCTAAAAATATGTTTTTGGATGAGTCAAAGCCAGCAGCGTATATTCTTGCTGTGAAAGGAGGATTTCGTTCACATATTATCCGGCAGGCAAATCTTGAGATGGTGCTCTGAACAGACTGAGTCTCTGAATTGCTCTGACTTCCAGGAACAGTATCTGTCACTACAAAGTCTATAGGGCTCTCTGTTGATCGCCCAATCTGGAGAACAAATTAAACATAGATTCAGAGGTGGTGCAAAATAAAGCATTCTAGAACATACCGACATTTAATTTTCCATCTCCCACCCCACCCTGCAAGCTTAGTCTTGCAAGCATCCAATCTTGTCTGAACAACGACTCTTTCATTGGGACTGCCTGTTCAGAACACTGCCTCGTTATACCTTTGTGTGTATTTCAAATTCAATTTGCTGAGGAAATTTTCAACCTTTTCTCCATTACTTTTCTGCCTCGGGTCATAAACCAAAGTTGCTAGACATTTTGCTTTTCTTTCTTTCACTCTGCTGAGTGGGTGGGGATTAATCTCATTAAATAGCTCAACAAAATATCTATAAAGATCCCTGCTGGGTTTCAGTGGCTAGTCAGAAACCTTAGCCCATGAAATGGGAGGTGCAGACCTTAAAGGAATCCATGACTTTACACCAAATGGTAATTCACAGTTGCAGGACTCAGTACTTCAGAATACTGTATGATATTATGTGATTTTTAGCTAAATAATGTATTCTTATCTTTCATGTCACTGACCGTAATAAATTATTTTTTATTGTTTACATCAGAATATAAAGTAACAAGAATGCCTTTAAAAGTCCAAGCATATATAGAGTTCCTTTCCTTAAATTCTGCATAACTGCAATTCAATCCCACACAAGTAATATCATGAGCATTGCTACTGAACCAATCAAGTTTTCCATGGTGACACCTAAGTACACGGTCACAGATGGTGCTCTGCTTCTCTTCCTCTCTTTTTCTGTGTCATCTTTCTGCAAGACTTCTTAAAATGAACTAAGTGCTGAATCTCTTAATGTCAGCATACTTCCGATAATACTACTATAGACCTATTGGTATACATTTTTGGGAGCAGAGCTGACGATATAAATTGTTCATATTTAATTTCACGAAACGCTTGACATGAATTTGCCTATTACAAATAATGTTACAATAAACTATGAACTCTAATCACTGATACTGTATTTGTTTTTGTGATCCACTTTGAGCACAATACACAGTAGAAAAAGCAGATTAGCCGACTATGACTTACATTTCTGTGTTTTAGGTTTTATTTTAAAGATTTATCACCAGAATTGCCAAATTGGTGCTGTTTTACTCTCATGCCACAATTGTAACACACGGAATGGGAGGAGGGGGAAAAATGTTCACTGTATCTTTCACAAATGAGTTGATAATTAAAATGACCTTCAGCGACAAGACCAGCAGTTCTAGAGTTACCAGGCTGCAAAACCACTCTTTGGACTCATATACAGCTGGAGTAAAGGTGAACTACTTAATTCAGAGTAAACACCAACTGTTTTATCCCTTTGTTTGGCTGGACGAAAACAATGGGCCGCCTTACTGGGCTTGGCTGCAAACCAGCTAGGCTCTTCCAGATGAAGCCAGATGCGCTTTTCAAAGCCAAATCAACCCCCCCCCCTTTAAGGGTTTAAAGACATCTATTTCTGCTTTAAAATTAAGGGGTGTAAGAAATACGCATCTTGTATTGAAACCCCAAGCCCTCCTAAGTTGTTTCATAACACAGCCCCTCCCTCCCTCTCCACACTGGGTTCTTTCAAACACCATGGCTGTTTATGTTCTCGGCTGCCACACTCCAATCTTGTATTGAAACCCCAAGCCCTCCTAAATTGTTTCATAACAGGGCCCCTCCCTCCCTCTCCACACTGGTTCTTTCAAACAGCATGGCTGTTTATGTTCTCGGCCGCCACACTCCAGACTGCAGCCACTGCCATTGGGGGGGGGCTTGTCCTCCCTGACCTGTGGAACCTGTGCAGACCAGAGCGGTCGGAACCAGCACACTTTCCACCTCTCCTCCTCTCACTTCCGAACTATTCAAGATGCCCTACATTGGCCTCTTACGCTTGTTTGACAACTTTGAAGCCTTTGCAGGATGACACATTCTGCCCAAACGACCCCATATCTCAAGAACAAAAGATAAACGTTTCAACACCGTCTCCAATACAGTGTGTGGATAGGGAGAGACTGGCTTTGGCAGAGTTGTCTTCTAGGAACCTTCAGGTACTAGTCAGACAACTCCTGTGGCTGTTCCTAGTGAGGGAGTTCGAGCACCTCTTGCCTAGGACTACACTATACTACAAAGATGGCTCATGTGGTAATACTTTTACCAGAATATGCTATTTCAAACAGGGATGTTTAGAATGTATCAACCCAACCCACCCCCTGAGGCAACTTCTCTATGTACTTTTTCTGAGGTAAAGGGGCTTGTGACTGAGGCAGAGAGGATACTTCCCCCAGAAATTTCAGAGCGAGGGAAACACATCTTGCCTCAGTCCATGAGCCACCCCTGGGTTAGACTGGACCTCTCCTTCCTGACAGAGCCATCCTATGGACAGAGATTTTTGGCAGGGGAAAGTAAGCATTTTGCAGGCAGCAATAATCAGGAAAACCATTTTGCCACTTGTATATGACTTATTTTCTTTAAGCTGTTCACCTGGCAAAACCGGTGGGCTGTCAATAGTATGTTTTTTCAGACTATTTCAAAACCAAAACACTGTCTCCAAGGGAACAAATTTACAAAAACTATTCACAACACAGTTAATTCTGCAGATTCCTCAACTTCCTGTTTTTTAATGGTATCTCTCAGAAGATCCAGGTTACATCAAGACAGGCAGTCTAAACCAACAGAGTACCTTTTGCCTTTTTGCTGCTATACATTGAAAAAATGGCTATTTTTCTGGATGTTGAATTTAAGACAATGTATGTAATCAACATACAAATTAGTGAGATCTGGGAAGGCTGAAGGCAAGATTTCAAAGGCACAGAAGAGGAAGGCGCAGGAGTCAGAATATCCGTGATTAAGACAGCATCCTATATGTATGCTGTGTATGCAACAATGCACAAGTCAAAGGAAACACAAATGAGGAGTCCAGAGTAGCATACTAACAGTTTGGTTCGAAGCCAGAAGGTTTAATCCGTATCGGAAGCCAGAAACAAACTGGGAGAGCTTGAAGATCCAAGTTGTTATGCCTACTCTAGTACATTTTAAATTGGAGACAGACTTTGAGCCCTCAGCAACAAGTTTACTGCCTCTCACTGACTTGCAGAGATTGCAGTAGTACTGAATTGAGCAGAACTTCAAAATTTGCTTGTTAAATTAAATATTATTCTACTCAAGATCCATTTGTTTTACTATCAAGTTAGTAAATTCAAATCAAGACAGGCTTTCATAAATGGAGGAAGCTTAGCTTTTCTCTCAATAATTTTTTTCAATAAAATTCAAGATTTTGAAACAAACAAACAAAAACCAGCTGGGATGTGAAGTCATGATTCAGATTAGGACTGTGTATACTTACTAGAAAGCAAGGATTTTTAAAAAGTACTCCATGTATTTACTGAAGCATGTAATAACCTTTGAACTGCAGAGCTGGAAGGAATCCTATAGATCATTGAGTCCAACTCCTGTCAAGGAGGCACAGTGGGGAACTGAACCACCCTCTGGCTCCACAGCCAGAGAGCTAAACCACTGAGCTATCATTTAGTCCAAATCTCCTTTATAGAAGAGTGAAGTCAGGGTGTGCGTGTGTGTAGCGGGGGGGGGGGGATATGATATATAAGGAAGGAACAGAAGGGTCAAATTACATGGCTGTCAATAAATGTTTACTCTTGACATCTATGTCAACGATATGAACAAACCCCTAATCCTTTGGGCTTTCTTCAGGGCCGTCTTCCCCGTTCCATAAGCCCATAAACCCAAAAGGTCACAAGGTCCTTTCTGGTTTAACTTTTCTCAGAGCTACTGACAATGTCATCAGGCATGTGCAACTTAGGATATTATAACCATTCTTCTAACATGAAAAAACACAAATGATGGCACTTCATGCAGTTAGCTTGCACAATTTCCCAATGCACACATGTTTTATATATACCTGAAACATATCTGTGTTACTGTCATGCGTGTATTCAACCACCACCGTCTGAACTCGAGATAAAGTGTAGGATATACTGTGCTGGTCCTTGTTGCTTATTGCCTGAGGGAGGAAAAAAAGTCATTTTATTATTAAATGAACCTTTAAAATTGCTTAGCAAGAACTAAACATCACGACAGAACACCATCCTATCAATCCCAATTTTCCAAGTATTCCAAAAATACTTTCCAGTCTCTTTCCTATAATGATTTTGGTACAATACAACCACTGTTTCTGTGGGATCAGTATCCACAGTTTCAGTTATCCATGGTGTACCACAGCTCTCTTTATATAACGTATAAGGGTGTGGGCCTTGAAGCTTTTCTCCCGCCTCCTTGTATGTATCTATAGGGTTTGCTATTATCTGCAGTTTCAGGCATTCATTGTAGATTGTGGAAGGGATCCACTGTGGATCTGAGGGACCTACTATACAGGCAAAAGGCTCACTGAACCTCCATTATTAGGGCTAAATCTTGTGACTTAATGATGTTACGAAACCTGGCCCCAAACATTGACTTTTCTTTTAAAAATACGCAGTTGGGGGCTTCAAGAAAGTTGCAAAATTGATGGCCATGGCAAACAGGGGGTGGTCCCTGTATTACCCATCCTTGTTTTAAACAGATGAAAGGTACAGGTGGGGTGAAGAGTTTGTGTGTACATTTTTGCATTTTGTATTTGAAGGAGACCATCCAGTCAAAGGATATACATTTCAAACAGACATGTTTACTGATCTAAAGGTACTACTGGATGTAGCCTTTCAAGGTCACTTCAGGCACACCACCTCCTGCATGTTAAGCAGACCTTAGTTCATTTTTGCACTGTCTGGTGTGAAATGAAATTAAGACTGCAAAGGGTGTTCACACCTCCTTGCTGCCAAGTCAAACGGAATCAGTGCAGTGTTTCACCAAGCCACTTGAGAAAAAAAGCATCAGAACACACCTACTTGGCAAGCCTCCAAGATGGGACACCTTTGGGTGGCAGGAATAGCTGCTGCATGCCTATGGTTAAAAAGTAAGGCTAAGGATGCAGAAGGTCTGGTCTTGGATGTTTCCACCAGAAGCCTCCTCCCATTTTCAACTGATAGCAGTCTTAGATTCCATCACTTATGAACTGAATAGAGGCTTGATTTTGGAAAGCTCATTACAGCTTAGATCTCTTTGGTATTATCATTATCATTATCATTATCATTATCATTATCATTATTAT